CCCCGGCCCCGAGCAGCCCCCGGTGCAGTTGGGCAGCCCTGCCAGGGCTGGAGGGCAGCTGCAGACCTCAGGGAGGCACAGACCACGGCGAGAGCTCAGCCTCAGTACCAGGCACCGGAGACTCCACGCAGGGACTGCAGCTCCAAGGTCCAAGCGTTTGTGAACCACTCCTTTCAGCTTAGGTGATCTTTTTTTCTCCAGATAGACATGTATGCCTACGCCTGCATGTTACAAGTGTCAGGAGCTGCAGAGAAGCCAGTCTATTTCTTTTAAAAACTTGACATAAGCAGGTAAATTATCCCCAAGTAACGCATTTACCACGAGAGGGGAAATGCCGGCACTGCTGCAGTCGCCAGAGCAGGATCGCCTGCCTCCCATTCCCCGTGGTGACAGGGAGCCTGAGTTATGGCCCTGTTGGAGAGACAGCAGGTTTGTAAATGCCTCTGTGCTGTTTTCCAGCCTGAGCAGAGCCCATTGATCACCAGGGCAGGAGTAAAGCCAGTGAAGAGAAGCAGGAGCGGGAACGGCGGAGGCATGTGGCCAGAGACGTGCCAGGTGCTGGGCACATGCAGGGATGCTCGGACCTGACCTTCCCCGGGACCTCTGTGTCCTTTCCCCTCATGGAGATCCCTGGTCCAAGGGCACAGCCTGCATCTTTCACCCCTCAAACAAGCTGGTTGGCTTGGACCCAGACAGGGATTGCAAAAGGATTTAAGTCATGACCCCATGGCACTACAGGGGAAGGTCCCTGTGGCAGTGTGGCACAAGCCTTATGGCACATATGTTCCGTGTGAAACAAGGCTGGTTTGGGGGTGAGGGCTGAGCCTTTATTTGGCTATATCTCACGGCCACTAAATGCTACCAAGGCTCCTCAGGAACTGGGATACTGTTGGCACTCAGTGAAAACCAGAGCCTGCACAAAGAGCAAGCAGCCTTCGGAAATGCAAGAAGGAGGGAAACTGAGGCACAGAGCGGCCGTGTAGCAAGTAGACACATCCTGGGTTTGAGCCAGGGCCTCAGTACTGGACCCTTTTACAACCTCCAGCATTCGCTGTAGCACAGCCAGTGCTGAGAGACTTATCGGAGCAACGTACAAACTGCTGTGAGTGAATGTCCCCCCAGAGACAGGCGAAGGAAGAGCTGTTTGCCCAAAGTCTGACATGAACCTGAGCAGCCTGGGGACTCGCGTCCCCCACGCTGCAGTAGCTCTGCAGCAGCATCCCAGCTGCTGCATATGCAGGGAGCACAGAGGAGGCATCTCAGCACCATGGAACATGAGGGTCATGTTGGAAACCCCCCCAAAAAAAGCCATTCCCTGGGAGGGGGGACAGGACGTGGCTGCATCTGGCACAGAAGCTGCCCCGTAAGAGTTGATGTTGCTTTAGGCATCTGGTTGCTGCCCCCACCATGAAGCTGCCCACCCTGAGCCCTGCACAGAGTTGGGCTGCTTCATGAAAAGGTTAGGGCTGGCCAAGGGGCTGTGTTGAATCAGGGCACTCCACTCGTGACATCTTACCTGCAAGTCCCAGCAGGTTGTTTCACATAGCACAGGTAGGGAAACTGAGGCAGGGAGGATTTCCGGGACCTGGGGAGGAGGGGAAGGTGGCAGGAAGCCTGTCCTGGCTGCACGATCGCTGCTAAGCCATGGGGAAAGTCACTTTGCCAAGCGCGAGGTCCCTGTGCAGATCACTCCCATGGATCAGGGTCAGCAGCCCCCCCGCCCGGCTGGGGGGACAGTCCTGGGGTGCCCAAGAGGGCACCGGCTCCAGGTTTTGCTCCTCCAGACCCAGGCTCACGCTGACCACCAGCCCTTGCCGTGGTCTCCACCGCAGGACACGGCACAGCATCCTGCCACGTAGCCCTGCCACCCCCTGGGTGGATCTTCCTCCAGCCAGAGGCCACCAGTGCTGGAAACAGACTGCGACACCGAGCACTGGCACCGGGACCTGGTGCATCTCCTGCTGCGCCCCTCGCTGCCCAGGCAGGGCTCTCGCTCTGCATCCACTGGCCCTGAGGATGCCCCGCAGGGCCCCCCCCCCTCAGCTGCACCCCGGCAGCTCTTCCCTCGCTTTCCACACCATGCTGATGTCGCCCTGGCCATCAATAGCGCTTGGTTAATTAATTTGATGGGAACAGCAGGGACCGCACTTTGCATTTAGTGAACTTCCGAGAACTTCCAACCTCATCTTCATAATTGGCCTCATAAATTTGAGGAAAGAGAGAAATCAGCAAAGCCAGAGGAGCGCGGGAGGCGGGAGAAGCCCCACATGCAGGAGGGCAGGCGGGCGCGTGAGAAGTGACTCTGGTTGGTGTCCTTATTTAATTTTATTGCACAGATCCATCTTCGCCCACCCCCTCCCTGCCTAGCCCTCTCTCTCCCGCTCTCCCTGCTGGGTTCACCTAATCATGATAAATTCATATTCATTTCCCTTCCTGCTCCGGCGGGGGGAGCAGCTCCCTTACATTCGCCTGGCCGTGCTGCCATTAGCAAATATTTACTCATAAATACAAAACACCAGTGGTAGGAGCCAAACCACTCCCTCTGCACCCCTTTTCCCCCAGTCCCGGCACCCTCCCACCCCTTCACAGGGACAAGCATGATGGCTGAGTGTCCTCCTCCCTGCAGGGTAGGGAGTGGGGTGGGAATAGGCGCCTGACTCTCAGAGCTGCAGTGACCCGGCCTTGACTTTTTCTTCCTTTTCACTCTGAGGGGGTAGAGACACGCTTGATGGGGGAGACAGGAATTGCCTGAGCCCCAAGTCTGGACCCACCTTGGGTATGCAAGGATGGTGGGGTGGAAGCAAGGGGCTCTGCATGAGGAGCCGAGTGCCTATCCTAGCTCCCCAACTTTCCACTCAGTCCTTAAGTGCTGCTGCATTTGAGTTTATTTTTAATTTTCAGGATGATCAGACTCACAGCCAGGAAGGGCAGGAAGGGGGTGTGCTGGGGAGGGGGAATAGCTAAAGCCTCTTCCTGGGAAACAGAAACCAGGCAACACCTTATCAGACATGCCTAAAACCCTATTTGCTCACCCTGCCTGCACCCATCGTGAGGGCTCAGCACCCACCTCCTGCCAGGCACCCCAGTAGCCCCATGCCTTGTACCTTCTTTGCAAATGTGGCCTCCTAAGGTTTAGAAGATGCAGATGTGCTGGGGTGAGGGGGTGGCCGGGTCCTGCCCTGCTGTAAGGACAAAAGAGGGGTCTCAGAGGGGCATTTGGTGTCAGAGCATGCCAGGCGGGACTTATGCCCTGGCCTGGGGTCTGCGAGTGACTGGGAGGATGGAGGGCAGGATTAGGGGCACAGAGAGGAGACTGTGCGGGGCAGCTCTGTCCCTTCCATCCATGGCAGGAGGGACTGCCCAGCTCGGGGCTGACTCACATTCCCCTCGTGTTTCTCCCCTTGCATCGGGAGGAGGGAGAAGCAGGAGCCTTCAGCATCCAGAAATATCACCCTCCAGGTGCTTTGGACCGGCTCCTTGTGGTGCTCCTTCACCTTCTGCCCCTTCACATCTGCCGTGGCTGCACCCAGGGTAGATGGCCCTCATCCCTCCTTGGCCCCCCTGGCTGCTGCTGGCCACTGGAGGGCCCTCTGCCCCCTCCATAGCTCCTGGGCAGGAATTTGTGGGGTGGGAGGGGACAGACATCAGGCCCCTTCCCTCGCAGAGCAGGAGACTAGCAGGACATCTCCCCCCCAGCAGCCTCCACCTGACACATATGCACTAGGGGCCACCCTCACTGCCATTTCCCAAGGGGCTGGGGGAACAGTCTTGCTCCCAAGCAGCCCTGGCCCCACACATCCCCATGTTTGGCCTCCTCCCTGAGTAAAATCAGCACAAACAGCAGGGCCAAGGCTTTGATGTGCTACTGTAGCACCCATTTGGCACCAGCGTGTGAATTGTGACCCTGGATAAAGGGGGGTGACAAAGGGGAAGGAGCTGGGGGCCAGCAGTGCCACAACTCCTTCACTCCCAGTGAAGTCCCCAGCACGTGGCCCTGCTGAGAGGGACTGCCCCAGCCCTCCAGGAACAGCTTGCCCCAGCACCCAGAGCTGGAGCCAAACCTGTATTCATCAAGGGGACAAGGTGAGCAGCCACAAACTCCGCTCCCTGCCCCAGTCCAAGCAGAAAGAGGTCCGTGCCCAAGGTTGCCAGCCATAAAGCTCTAGGAAGAATCCTCCAGGATCATACCAGCAGCACTGGAGGGAGAAGGAGCCCCCATCCAACCTCGCCCAGCCCTGGCTGAGGCCAGCTGTGGCCCTGCCCGGCCAAGCCTAGATGACCCCAAGGATGGGGACTCTGTCTCTGGGGCTGGTCCCTGGGCTGCACAGCCCCCCTGGGGAGACAGCGCTCCCCCTGCACCTCCCAGGCCTGGTCTGGGGCTGACTCCCCTTGGCCCCTGGAGAACCCAGCCCAGCCCTCGCTGGCTCTGCCCCAGCCTCTGCCCACCCCAGCAGCCCCTGGCTCTCTTCAGCTTCTCCATCTCCCTTTTGAGCCAGTGTTTCTTGCTGCTCATTGCCATGTGCTCCCTCAGCTTCCAAGGCTGTTCAGATTCCCCTTGGACAACCAAAGCATTTCCTTGCTCAGGAGACTGAGCTGTGTTCCAGGCACAGAACAGGAGACAGCAGCAGCCAGTTCCCACACACCCTACTGTGTGATGAATACAGAAAAGCTGACAGCAGTCCCTTCCTGACTCCACACCTGAAGTAAGAGCTCAGCCCAAGGCTGAGAGCTCGGAATTGCTCCTTTCCCTGGGCACGGCCAGCCCCAGCTCAGCCACATGGCCAGCTGGACAGAGCCAGGTCCCACTCTGCCATGGGAGGATGGTGGCCAGCAACTCCCTGCCCTGAGAGCCAGAAGTGGTGATCCAACAGCAGGAAGGTCTCCACTGCCTTCTCCCTGCCTGTACTGAAAACAGGGAAATGGGCCAGCACAGGATGGGTTCCTGGTCAGCCAAAGGAAGAGACCAAACAGCTGCAGGGCAGAGAGCAAGAAGACAGAGATGCCAAGAAAAAAAGAGAGAAGGGATTTATTATACTTCAAATTTCAATGTACTAAGACGTGCCAGAAGACAGTCATTTTCATCAAGTGTTCAGTACAAAGGCTGGGCTGAAAAATGACACTGCTGGTGTCAAGGCCTCCCCAGCAAACGCCCTAGCCCCATTACTGGTGCCCAGCAGCCACAGCTGACGGTGCAGCAAGGAACTGTGCAAACCCACCAGGTTTAATGCCCTTGTGCCTACCCTAGCAGCAAACACGCGGCTTGTCACTGCACATGACAAACACACAGCAGAGTGCAGAGCGGGGGTGGCTGGGTCCCCCAAAAGACAAGGGAGTGGGAGGCCAGGCCAGGCCCAGAGGGAGCCCTGGGGTCCTGGCACAGAGCAGCACCTCTGCCAGGAGGAACCACTGCAATACCTGTAACGGAGATGGAGCACTGAAAGTCTGTGGGAAATTCATCTCTAGAACATAAAATAGTTGAGGTTTCCCAGGGAAAAAAATTCACTCCCATGGAACTGATGGGGCCAGCCAGGTGTACATTCATACACAAACACACACACGTTTTCTCTGATCAAAAACCAGATGACTCTGTGGCTTCCACACATACAAAATGGGAAAGCTTTGCTTCACCCAGATTAGAACTAAACTATCTGACTTCTCTCTGCCTCCATGCCTCCTATGCACAAACACACAGTCCTGCTGGACTACATTCAGTGTCATTACATTCAAACCCTTCCTGAGCACAGCTCCCTAAGCCGTGAGGTCCACTCCTCTCCTGCACTTAGAGGAAAGGAGCCCTTGGGGCCAGAGCAGGGGTATCACAGCTCTCTGCACTGGCGGATCCTTGGCACATGACAGGCTGAGAACAAGCTGGCACAGCACATCAGGTCCCTACACCTCCTTCAAGGCTTCCCTGGCACCAGGGGAAGCTGGTGGCAGTTGCAGCAGCCCAGCCCCGTGTAGTGACACCCACCAGAGGACATGAGTCAGCTCAGATGGAGGAAGGACACAGCAGCAGCACAGTGGGACCCTTCGTGATTCCCGCAGTAGCAGCTGTCAGCAGCAGTGAAAAGGGGGAAGGCCTGTTCCAGGGCAAAGCCAGATCCCTGCTGCCTTCGTGCACAGTTCAGGACAGAGATTTTGGGGTGTCTGTACTCAGACACAGAGGAAGATACATCCCACTTCCCCTGTTCCCAAGCACCGGGAGGGACGGGATCACAAGGCTCCACAGCCCAGCCTTCTGAAGCTTCCCCCAGGAGAGCAGGGCCAGGGCAGCTGATGGGCAGCGAGCCCTTCTGGTAGCCAGGGGCTGCCTGTGCCACCAGGCAGCGCTTCCAGCGTGGTTCCAGCACACAGCCTCCGCTGGGCAAAGCCACACAGCTCTGCCAGCAGCAGGGCCCTGTGCTTGCAAGGAGCCCCAGTTTGCTGGGATATGTTCCCCAGTCTGCATCCATGACAGAGCAGCACTGGGGAAACCAGCACCCTTCAAAACAGCAGCACTGCAGTGGGCCCAGGGTGCTGGGTGACAACCGGGTGTCACCAGTCCCGTTCTGAGGGCTCCCGGTACGGCAGCCCCAGCTGAATGAAGACATCTTTCTCAGTGGGAGTGGGCAGAGTGTGACCAGATGCCACCTTGATGCCTCCAGGGCCCCGCACCACGGCTGAGCTGAGGGCGTGCTCCGATAGGCTCATACCCTTGGTCTTGGCCAGGGCCCGCATGGAACGGTTGAAGTGAGCCGAGCCGGTGAAGTAGAGCAGGGCACAGGCGAACTCACTGTAAGGCACCACGATGATGTCAAGCCGGCGGTGACGCTGGGCTGGCCCGGGGAGGCGACACACCCCCAGGTACTTCTTCTGCTCACCGTTGTCCTCCTGACTCACCAGGTCATCCGTAAGGAAACCTGGGGAGAGAGAACAGGCAGAGAGGAGCTGAACGGTGGAGACTGACACCCTCACCCTGAAATCCCCACTGTCCAGACAACAGCTGAGTGCCTCAGTGTGCTGTGGGACCCTAAGGACAACCCAGCCTCATGCAGACAGCAGAAGCCATGCTGAGCTGCAGCATTCCTTAACACTAGCAGCAGAGATGTCACTGGAGCAGGGCCAGGACCAGGGGCAGTACTCTTACTGACTTACAAGATGTCCTGTCCTTGGGAGAAACAATCACCTGCTCTTCAAGGAATGCCATTCACCTCATTGCCCCCTCAGCTTGGCCGTGCTAAGAATAGCTTCGAGCACCGTGTGCCAGCCCACAGCCCTCTTACCGCTCCTGTGGAGGCTGTCGAGCAGCTTGCTGAACACCCCATGGTGAGACCGCCCGTCTGGGTGAGTGACCAGCACATCCACGTCTCCACAGGTGGGCTTCCCCCGACGGTAGGAGCCACATGCCACACACAGGAGCCCAGGCTTCAGGGCCAGGGCAGCTTGTCTGACCTCCAAGAAAAGAAAGAGGGATGAGGAGTGAGAGACTAGTCTCTTCATGCCCTTTCCATCAAGGCAGCAAAGGATCTCGTGCCTGCCTTGCGGCACGCCCTGCATCTCTAGGGCACATCAGAGCCACATCAGTCAGGGTGGCCTCCACCCGGTCCTGCAGATGCCAGCACACTGCCATACAACACAATGATCTGTCATAGCGCTGCCATCAGTCATCAGCTCTTTGGGGCACTGGCCTGGAGCTGGGTTGGGACAAGCAGGAAGATGCAGCAATGCTGAGGAGTCAAAGTACGGCACAACCTGTCAGAGCATCCTGTTTCCAAGACAGCAGGAGAGAAGAGGATTTTCAGCTCTCCTGTGGGCCAGGAGGGCAAAGCTCACCAGCTCTGCCCACAAAGAAAAATCAGTTCAACACGAGATGGTCACAGGTCCTGTTTCAGAAGCAGAGATGGGCTCATGGGGAATCTCCCCAGCAGGACCCAAGACAGAAGAAAAACTGCAAGTGCCCCTTGGAGCCCACTCCTGTCAGCTCTGCCTTTGCAGGAGAGCTGGGCTTCCTGACCTGGAAAAACACAAACGTCCCAGCATTTTAGACCCAACGGATGCCAACATGCTGCTGCCAGCAATTAGACGCATATAATCAGAACTTCCCCTAATGCAGCCACCTCCAGGTTGGACCCCAGCTCCTGTTTTGTGCAGACAGTGCTAATTCTGACAGCTTCATTCATTACATGCTTAAGAAAGGCTCCCAAGTCCTTGGACAGGAGTAAAGTATTCTTGTTCTGATTGTGCCAATCACCCCGCTGGCAGCAAATAATTCGGGGCTCAGCAATTCCCAGTGACGAGGCCATCACAGAGGCTGGGGTTCAGGAAGGCAGTGTCCATGCCCACAGCCCCTTGTCACTCTTGGGGATCATCCTTCATTAGCAAGAGATAAACCCATTAACCTTTGCCCCAGAGGTGTTCCAAGAAGCCACAAGCCTTTCTCATGCGGAGCAAGCCCTCCTCTGGTAACCTTGCCCCCCTTCTGGCTTTAAATGAAGATTTCTAGAAAACTCCCAGCCCCACCCGAGAGCCTAAAAGCTCCTCAGATCTCACTGTGACAGGCAGCACAGACAGTGACTAATCCCTCATTCTCTCTCCTGGGCCTGGATCAGAGGTGTGTGCCTGTGTATGGAGGGCAGCACAGTAATCCCATCAAGATAACAATAGACCCACCCCCAAGAGCCAGCTCCTCCACCCAGCCTGCCTGGGAAAGGGACCACTCACCACCAAAATGGCTAATCCAGCACACGGGACTGACACCCCAGCAGGAGCCTGGCAGGAGTGTATTCTTTGTGGCCAGGCCCTGTGGCCGAGTGACAGGGTCACGCTGGCTGCTGCTTCCATGGTGATCAGAGAGCACAGGGGTAGCAATGATGGTGTGTCCCCCAAGCTCTCTGCTCAACAGTGGGGTACACTGCCTTAGCACCCCATAATCCTGGAGTGCCCTGGCATACCAGGGCAAGCAGCACCTATCTACAGTCTGGATCTCCTTCGCTCCCAGGAAGGATATGGACATTCTGTCCCCCCAACTGACAACCAGACCACAGGGTGCTCACAGCTTCCCTCTGGAGAAGCCGCACCAGGGAGGCAGCAGCTCAGGGGCCTTGGCTGAAAGCAGACATCTCAGAGAAGATGAAAGGCAGGAAAGAGGAATTGGGAACCTGCTCATCCCATCAGGCCACACGCAGCCTTTTTCAAAGCAGCATGTAGAACTGACACCCATGAAGTATCTTCCTCCTCCTCCTCACCAGGCGCTCAAACTGAATAGGGCAAAGTAGGTGCCTTGTGTGCCCATGCCCAAAAAGGGTCCCCCAGGCACTGACTCTGCTCAGAGGAGAGGCTGAAGAGCTCAGCTTTAACAGCGAGGGGCTTTTCCACTGCATGAACCCTCCTGTCAGGTCCCAGCAGGTACTCCACTCCGAGAGCCCAGGGCTGAGCTACTCACAGTCTCTTCTATTTCTGCAGCTTCCTCCCGAGGCATGCGCTCCAGGAAATCCGTGTAGTGCTTCAGCCCCACAGCTTGCTGGCTGGTGAGAGTCGCCTTGGTGCGAATATCATCCAGCGTCCGGAAACCCTAGTGCAGACCATATGATGATATTCAAACATCTACAGAGACTTTCCTCTTCAAATACATTCAATCAAGAGCTGGGGAGATGGTATTTAACCTGTCTCAAATCCATGCCAGTCACAGCTTCGGAGGTCACACGTAGAGATCACTTAGGGCCTGGTTCCTAAAAGAAGGGATTTAGGCAATCCCGGTACCCACACGCACCTCTAATCTCCACCCCACAATGACTCTGAATCTTAACTAAACCTAACAGAAGGCTACTGCTCTTAAGGCACTGTATTCCTACAGCTTGAAGGAAAACAATTAATGCAGGTAAAGGAACAACACCCAGAATATCCCAATGAGGGAAAGCCTACAGCATGAACGCAACCACATTTTTAAGACAGCAAAGAATCCAGTCACAAACCAAACACTACAGGAAACCCGGCTTCATTAGCTCAGGAGACAAACTGTTTTTAAAGAAGGAACGCACGCAGTGGGCTGGGTTGCTCTAGTTGGCACACTTACTTCAACCTCATTTTTATAACTTCCAGACAAGGTGGACGGCTGCTCTGACAGCTACAGGAGCCAGCCAGGCCAACAGGCCAGCAACTGGATCAGGAGCTTTTATGGCCAAGATGGTTCAAGCCTGGCTCTTAGCACTGTAGTTGTCATGAGCAATGTGAGATGAGCTCCAAGCAGTGATGTTAACAGAAGAGGAAGCGTGTCTCCCACTCCTCCTATCATACATCTTTGTCCTCTACCCCCATCTACACTCAAGTCTCAGCCCTCGACACTTCATTCTTCCCAAACACACCCACAACAGCACCCACTCTTGTAGCTCCTCCTATAAAACCAGATTCAAATCCCATCCGTAGATACTGACAATTAGAAACTATTTGTGAAATAATTCTCCTACGCTCAGCAGCAGTCTGAGAGCCTCTAGTGTAAGGCACTAAACTTACCTGCTGGTACCACAGCTGAGCTGTCTTGACCCCTGCTCCCCAGATGTTAGAAAACAACTCCAGCACAGGCACACTCTCACTGATGTGATCCAGCTTGCGCAGGTGCCCACTCTCCAAGATCTCCAGGATCTTCTCTGCCATCCGCTTCCCAATCCCAGGGATTTTACAGGCTTCCTAGCAAGAAACCAGAGCCACCACCAGAAAAGTGAACATCACTGACAAGCTTGGGAGTTGTTACCCACTCAGAGCCTGGTTAGCCATTTGATCAGTGATTGTTAAGTGGCAGGACTAGTTCTACCTGATGGTCTCCTCTCCAGCCCACGCTTATGTAGGCTACACGGATTCAATGGCAAGTAGAAAAGGCCAGGCATGCAGAACAGGACTGAAACCCTAACACACTGAATGGCTGGACTGTCTCAGTCAAATTAGTTTTATATATTATCTTGAATGGTGACCAGTTGCTGATGCTTAAGAGGAAGGTGAAAACATTCCGGAATTGTGCCTGGGGAAGGCATTTATCTCAAGAGTGCTCAGACTCTGCCCTAAAGGGCTTGGACTCCACTTTTCTGCTGTTCTGAAAACACTGCAGGTGGTGAGTGAATCCCAACTTGCACTTGCTACACAACTTCCATCAAAGTCACCACACAGGAAGGAATTCCCAAGGCCTGAGAATAAACTACTCCATGTACAGAAAGAGGAAGGCATCTGGCTCATAACAGAGCTAGAATGCTGTGTCTACCTCCCTGCTCCACCACCCTGGGAAGGTGTTTTACCTGGAAGGAGGTGACTGGTTTGTGGTAGCTCTTGAGTGCATTGATGGCTTTGGAGTAGCCCAGAGCTCTCCACTTGTCCCCCTGGACAGAGTATGCCTTTGCCAGCACTTCCAGCTTCTCTGTGATGCATTGGTTGTGATTCTCCTTCTTGCTGTTGGATGACTGGGCACAAACCCACTTGCTGGCAGGCTGGGCCACTGTGGAAGAGCTGTCACTGGTCTCCTCGGATGATTTCACAGGGTAGCGGCCAGAAATCAATGCTTCTAGATCTCCCTGGGTAACACTAGCATCTCCTTCACTGTCTTCATCATCAGAGTCTTTCTTTAGGGAGAGGTAGAAAAGCAGCCATGTGAGAATAAGTGCATGCCTCACATATGTCCCTTTGGCACGGGCTGCTCCTGAGAGCAGAAATTCAGAACACTAACCAAACTCCAGGGCATGCAGTGCTCAGACTGCCACCTCTAGAAGAAGCATTTGGTTATATGCACAACATAGCTCTTCATGCCTCAAGCTACACATGCACCTCTTGAAGCTACATGCATGTTTCACAAAGCACAGGAGACTGGAGACTGCTGCCCACCTGTGATCCAAGCACACATGCACCTCCTATAGCCAAGCCCCTGGAACCTAACTGAGGTAAGACATTGGTTAAGTAGAGCAGCTGCTGCCAGTAGCATGGTATGACAATGCCGAAATCCCTGGCTGGGGGGAGATCCTGACTCCCTACTCCCACTGGGAAGCCTTTTGCTGGTCTGGTGGCTGTACAGACACAGCTCTCGCATTCAGACTCTGCATCTTCCACCCCACGATACAGATGACAGGAGATAGGCACTGAACAAAATCTTAACAGGGTAGCAAATTACAACCCCCTCATTTTCCCCATGGCTATCTGCAAGAGAAAAGGGGGAGGAAGGAGTGACACAAAGGACTCCACATTCCTCAGTGACAGAAGAAAGAACCAATGTATACATTTGCTGATACCCTCAGCATTAGGATGCCTCTGTGTAGACTTAAGAAACAATGAGCCTTGGCTTCAGGTAACTAACAAAAGGGGACAGAAGTGGGAAGCTGCACAGAGGCTTTGTAGAATGCTTTCCTCACTGGGGTCCCCCTCTCTCCTGCTGTATAAACACAGGAGCCTGGAAAGATCCAAGAGTTTCTGTGTTGTGGAAGTAACTCTGAATGGCACTGGGCTGTTTGGGATCAGTCCAGCAATTACATGTGGCACGCAAGTCCTGTTATGAGTTTCTGCAGAGTGTCAGCCCAAGTCAGAGCCTTACAATCTCTGGTTCTGCCGGCTAAGGAGGTCACAAGGAGCTGAAGATTTTAGGCAGAAGAGGCAGGATGTTTCCCTGTTGTAATCTTGTTTTATAACTGGGTCAGACTGAGGATTTGATAGACTAAAGCAGTTTAATTCGCCTTGAAACGCAACTCCCTTAAGGGGAGTTCCTCTAAGGGCATCAAAGCATCAGAGTGTTCAGGTTAGTTAGTAAGCCCATAAAAAACATTTAAGGAACATGTTACCAAACCACAACACAAAGAACTCTGCAGCTGGGGCACACAATTCCCATCCCCTCAGCCAGCAGTGTCACATAGGTGAAACAGCACATAAAACCCCAACTCTGCTCTTCGCCAACAAAGCTGATGGACTCTGCAACCACACGTGCAAAACCAAGTAGTCCCATTAGCTTCTAAGATACTCCAGGATCCTACAGCAGATGACTTGCTAGAGCTGGGTGAGACTGGGATGGGCATGGTTTGTCTGGAGCATAGCACAGGGCACAGGATAGCAGCTGAAGCTCAGTAGCTGAGGCAAAATGCCACTTGAGAGGGAGGCAGGCAGCCTGGGGTTACAGCCCCAGGGTTCAGACAGTAAATAACTGGCACCACTTGGAAAGACCTTGCAGAAAACTACTGCATCCAGGTGCCAGTCTGACTGGTAACACAGTTTCCTCACAAGAGTTTACATCCAAGTGCAGATCCCCCAGAGCAGCCCCCATTCAGTATGAAACACTGGCACACAAATTATCTCCTAGAGAAAAAAACACCCACCCAAACTAGAAAAGACTCTGTGCTTCAATGGAGGCTGCTTCTAAGATGAGATTTCAGCTTCAGCTTTACTGTTGTAGCTGGGTCTCAAAAGCCATTGGTATTGTCTTTAAAGCATAACCCCTGGGTTCTCTTCTCCTCCCCAAACTCACATAGGCCAAAGCTTGGGACAAGGGATTTTACTGAAGCATCTACAAATATTGCTTTTGTGTACAGACTAACAGGAAATATCATTGCTTGATATAAGAGAGAAAAAAAAAAAAAAAAAAAAGAGAAAAAGGCAATAACGCTTCAGACTCTAGCAGCTGTCTGACCACCCAAAGTAAATGTGAGCAGAGCGCAGGGCGGATACCACAGGATCCATCACAGTACAAAAGAGCCTTTCTCCTCTTAAGTGTGAGAATTGTTAATAACAATTGCCACTAAGTTAGAGTTCCATAAAACAGCAAAGACTGGGTAACTGCAAAGGTGATGCAGTTAGGAAGCAGCCAACTCTGCCTACAGCACACTGGATAGTAAGTCTGGGGAGAAGAGATACACACACACACACATATTCAAGAGAAAGCCTAAAACAAAGGAGCCCCCAGTGGGCTGCCAGTTAGGGAGTAACTACAGGGTTTTGTGGAACAAAGTTTGAGACTGTGTTAGAAAACATACGCCAGCATTACAAGGCAGCTGCTGCTCTAAGAGGTCAGGGTAGCTTTGCTACAAATAGATTTGAATGATGCCAATGCCCAAAAAGATCTGAGCAAACTTGAGCAAAAATACAGAGAAATGAAAGAAAGCTAACAGCAGGTTGGAGAAGCTGACTCACGGCAGAAGCCACTAATAACCCAATGCAGATATTTTAAGCACATCACCACAATCATTCAAGTGGCAACTTGATCCATTGCACATGTGTCTGCACAGGGTGCTTGCCAAGGACTGAAGAATGGGTCAGTATGGCTCAGGGAGGAACACAGGATGAAATACCAGAGACAGTTTCCTGAAAGGGGGATATTCTCAGCCAGGGAATATTCCTCAAAAGGACGCAGGGGAAACATGATCACCAGAGTGAGCCTTGGCCTGATCAGAGTACCAGGACTGCTTCAGCTGGAAATGTTCTGATGAGGACAGGAATTTAAGGGGTTCTATTTCTACTTTTAACACCTAAAAGGGACAAAGAGAAGCAGTAACCATGTCCACTGCCTGAGCCTGCCAGCACCAACCCACTGAAACATTCAAAAGCCTTCCCTTTGTGAAAAAAATCTGGCATTGTATCCCTTCAGGGATGCTCTTGGCCAGGAAAAGCAGCATGCAGGATCTGTTCAGAAGGAGAAGGGCCTGTGTGGGAAGCCTCACCTCAGGCAGTTGCTGCTGTCCAAGGGTGCCCAGGCCTCGTTTCGAGGAATCCCGCACCTGTGCTTCAGTATTTGGTTTCACTGCTCCCTCCTCTGCTGGGGGCTGGATCTCTTCACTGCCCAGGACCTGCTGCCGCTGCTGCTCTTTCGGCAGTTCTCCCTCCTCCAGGTACCTGCCATGGATCATACGCCTTAGTTTAGGAGAAGGACTTCTCCATCCCCAGAAGTCTGACTGAGAAATCCTTCCGCATGTTTTTGGATGGAGCAAACAACCCATACGAATTGTACTCTCTCGGAACACAGATTAATTACTCTGGTTTTGGCTCAATTCCCCACTTTCCATCCACCTCGCTGACCTGCAACTTCCACTCATATCTACCTCACTCTTAGCCTCTTTCTAAAACTTTGTCAAAACATTTTGATCCTAACCTGTGGCTGCCTGCTGCTCCATTCCTTATTTCTTCTTGTGCCTACTTGTCAATTCTTTCTCTACTTTTTGTCTGCAATAAGTAAGAAACAGCATTTAATTCTCATCATTTTAAAAAGAAATCTCCCTGTCATCACTGATGGATTAGGAAGAGGTATCTGTAGCAAGTGACAGGACTCCTGTTAGGCTCTATTCCATGTTTTGCTACCCCACAGAATGGCAACTAAAGCCACTAAATTTCATGGTCTGTATGGGGAAAAGTGACTTTGAGTCATGTCCACAGGAGCTGCAAGGAGTTGCAGTCAGATTTTGAGCAGAGGCCAAATTTTAGTGCTGTTCAGTTTAAGCTAGAAGTGCTGTAGAGAGGAATGACAGTGTGGCATTTGCATACCTGCGAGGCATAAAGACATGGTAGCCAGCAGTACTCAGCAGCTTCTTGTCTCTAATGCAAGCACTTAGCCAGGATGCTTTCACTAGCTGCAATCCTGAAGGTAGTTTGGTTAATTTAAGGAGCCGAAAGGCCCGATCACAGTCCATGTCTTCAGCCACAATGACATGTGTCACCTCCGAGGAGAGCTGGTTGTGTACAACACCCCCATTCTGGACAATCTGCTTGTGGAAGATGTCCGCCCTGGCTTGGCCGATACCGGCTTGCAACATGTAGGCAGTGACTGGCTTCAGCCACTCTGCTGAGGAAAACACAGAAGCAGAAGCTCAGTGGCAAGAGCAACAGTGTCCCAAACCAGCTGAGCTACATAGGTCACATAGGACTTGATGGCACCAGCTGTGGCAGGCAGTCTTTGGGGGGGAACCAGCTGGACACATCAAAGCAACCTGACCATGGCCTCTACAGAAAACACACTTGGGGGCCTTTGGGGGAATGGCACCTCCAGTTAACAAGCTGGGGTTAGGAGTATTACATTCCATGTCATGGGCATGCAGGACTTACCTTCAGGTATCTCTATTCCTTCCTCCTTTGGGATCTTTGGAGGGATGCTTTTCTCTGAGTCACCCCTCACCTTCTTCCTCTTGGGAAAGGCTTTGACAATCCCTTGTGGCTCCATAGGCCTGGTGGGAAGCTTAGCTGCAACTGCTGAATACCAGTAAGAAAGAGGGAGGTTGCTTAGAACAGTGTTACACAATCACAACAACTTAAGATTCACTCGTTTTGTTCAATGACTTTGTTGGTTTGGGATTTGGGTTTTTTTGTTGTTGCCTTCCAAAAACGTTTGCCTTGAGGGAGGCACCTGGAAACAAGAACTTCAGCCCACAAGGTCAAAAAGGTTAAAGTTAGAAACCACCAAAAAGCAACTTAAGAAGATCCTGCTTGAATGTCTTAGAAATCACTAAACCTGTGTTCTTACAATAAAAACTATTCAACTACTTTAACATTTTGGGGATCCTTCTACCCAGCCAACAGAAGCAACTTTATTTCCCAGACATTTCTTAAGCACATTCCGATGAAGAGGGAGAGGGAATGCCTCTCTTGCCAGGGCTGAAATCCAGTCACCAATGAGAAGAGATAAAGCAGCTGATCAACACCAAGTGTTTCATACAGCCACAGGAGAAAAAACTCCAACCCAGCTGCAGCTGGAAATAGCTAATTAGTATAGATTAACTAGCCAAATCCAATACAGTTACAACTGTAGCTTTACTATCACAAACCTTGCAAAGGCAAACTTTGGAGCTTTAACTAGTGGCCCAGGCTACCAGGAAGTTCATTTTTCTGTAGCCCAAACAAAACCCCGAATCACCGTATATCCCAACAGCCCCTTCCACCCAGCTGCCTCATTAAGCCAATGCCAACTTGAAGGTTTCCTCTTTGTGCTGCACTTTGTAGCTTGCTTAGAGATTTCTCACATATAAACCCGCAAAATTAAGCCTGGAAGAGCTGAAAATGGTCCCACCTGGCCACGTCTTCTCCTTACTGTCACCTTCTCATCCAAGTGCTGAATACGATTCTCTGCAAGACCAACCCAGAGATGGACTCAAGTCTTTGCTTCTGGCAAGGAAGAGTTCAGCTTCAGGGGAGAAGAAACCCTGATGTTTCTAAAAGTCAGCTTCACAGAAACGTTTCTGATTTCAGGATATCTTGACCAAACCCACCCCCGTCTCTGAAAACAGTAATTCCTTCTATTATACAAAGGAAAAATAAACACACCAAAACCCCCCAAGCTTCTACGTGCCCAAGTCCTCTTTGGGACTTGGAAGAGCGTTTTTCTAGGTAGTATTTTAACTAATCTAAACCCAATCACGCACGCCAGGTACCAAGCTTGCCTTGCCGGCATCCTCAAGCCACGATGGCTTCAACGCCACCAAACCGGCTCGCCCCAGGCCGAGCGTCACCCAAAACCTCAGGGGCAGGAAACAATTCCCCCCCAAAAAACCTCGCGGCTGAGCCCGAGACCGGGGGAGCCGAGGAGCGGGGTAGAAGACGGGAACCCCCCACACCCCCTCCGCGCCCCGGCCTGAGGAGGGGCGCCGGGAGGGCCGAGACCCTCCGCGCCAGCGGGGGAGCAGCCGGAGCACCCCCGCGACCCCCGGCGGGGAAGGGCCGCCCCAAAACCCCGGGGGGGGGGGGGGGGAGTCGGGGCGGGGAGCTGGGTCCCGGGGCCGCTCTCACCTACGGACCGCGGCCGCGGGAAACGCTTCCGGGGGGCGGCCGGAAGCGTCCGCGTTGCTGTGGTGACGGGGCCCGGCCGCCATGGCGGTGCCGAGCTGGCTGGAGAGGCTGCGAGCTGCTGGCAAGACGGCGCTGGTGCAGGACGGTAACGGCGGCGAGGCGAGACGGCCCCCCCTCCTTCTCCCCCCCCTCCCCCCCCGACAGCGTGTTTTGGGGTCCCCCTGCAGCGAGCGGGCGGGGGGGGGGAACGGAGCGCTGGCGGCAGGGCCCGCCCAAGGCGATTAACGCGGGGACGCGGCCCCAGGCAGCGGGACAGGGTCAAAGCGGCTTCGTATTTACCCTCACCCCCTGCCTTGCCTCTAGGGAAGCGGAAGGTCCACTACCTGTTTGAGGATGGGAAGGAGATGGCCGAGGAGTATGACGTGAAGACCGGTCAGTTAGTGAGTAAGTGGTGCTCCCGGCTGGGCCCCGGCAGACGTGGGTCGGGGCAAGGCAGCGGCACGCGTGGCAGTGGGCCTGCGCTGCTGAGGAACAAACCGACCCTAAACATATTGGGAGATCAGCATGCCCGTAGCTGAGTTTTGTAGGGACGTATGCATGGTTCAGTTTGGGCCCAGGGCCCTCTCTCTGCCTTCCGTGGTGTGGCAGACCTTGCTTTAGCCCAGGACCTCTCCCAAACAGCTCATCTGTCACAGCAGGCTTGGATGGACTAAATGGAACTGTCGTCTTGTGTAGCCAGGACCTGAGTCTGTAGCACATGCTGGGGCGAAATATGCTTTTTGGTGGCTTTTGCAACCACAAACAACCAAGGTGTTGGTTATGGCTCTTGCCCAAAACCACATCACCTGCGGCACGGCACCTGTTGCAACCCCACCATGGCTTCAGCACCAAGTAGCAAAGAGAGGCATTCGATACAGAATTTCTGACTTCAGGAATAGGCCAGTTAACAGATCCACTCACGCCAAAATGGAAATGACTGGAATTAAGATACGTATCTTCTTATCATCTCAATGTGCTGGGCAGCTTTGGCAGGCATTTGCTGGAGTTCTTCTTATAGAGCAGAATAACAAAAACCCTTCTTCTCCCTTCCACAGGTAGAAAATGGCGAGAGAAGAACACCCTTGGGGGCTCTGGCAAATGGCAAGTTGAAGTGGGAGAGCCAACCTCACCGCTCCTGGGAGCACTGGAATCGGAGCTCATAAAGGAAAGCAGCTCCAATGTATGTAAGGGTCTGCAGGCACAACTGCACCTAAAACTACCTAGTCTTGTGCTTACAGCAGTAGTTGGTAGACAGAAGATCACTCATAGCCCCAAGAGACAGCCTTAACCTGCCCAGCACTCTACCATAAATCATCCCAAAGGTGCAGGGCTGGCTAGAAAGAAGGCAGGGCTTGGGTTCTTTTGGGGTCTTCAACAGATCTGTAGTTTCCTTAAGTAGAGAAACTGTACTGTTGTGTTCACCAGCTACTATTCTGGCTTCTGAAAGAGTAGGATGAAAGAAAGGCCAGTGCCAGGACAAGTCAGTGGATGGAAAGCAGAGGCAGCAACAATGAAAGACTGACACAGGCAGCTCACAGAAGGCTGTTCCTTAACCTAGCATAGCCTGTTTCATCTTCACATCCCTCTAGCTTAGGGGACGGAGGTTTTAGCCTCTTACCATCTTTTCTACAGACCTGAAACACAACACAACAAATTGGAGCAGAGCCAGGACTGAATCCAGCAGGTCCCCAGAGTAGGCAGAGTTCAGTATTCAGTTGCCTGTGAGGAAGAGGCCCAGTTTCCCTGTAACCCTGTACTGCAAGATTCTCTCACTGAACACTTGCAGCCTCCTACAAGCGGGGCAGGCAGTGCCCTGGATAAAAGCAGAGCAGCACTAGCTCTAGGAAAGTGATGCTCAAGCAGTTTCGTGCATTGCTCCCTAATGCTTCAGTGTGGAAAAAAAAGCTACTCCCACATGGAGCGTCTCAAGGTAGTACAAGAAGAAGGGGACAGGGAGGAGAGGAGATAGCTGGGGGGCCTTGCTAAAGGTACTTGTTTGCTGTAGCCTGTCTTCATGAGGAAGGATACCCTGAGCAGCTTCCAGTGGCGGATCCGTAACCTGCCTTACCCCAAGGAGGTCTACAGCGTCTCTGTGGAGAAGGAGCAGCGCTGCTGTGTCATCCGGACCATCAACAAGAAGTCAGTAAGGACAGCACTGCCAGTGCTGACAGTCCCTCAGGGTGGGCTGGCACAGAGGGCAGGCTAGTGATTGTACAGGGGGGTTGTCCTCCTTGCTTTCTATCCCTAGTGTGCAAAGGCTGAGGGACCCCACCTCACAGCTGCGTGTCTCCTGCTGTCCCAATTTCCACTCCCAACTTCCCCAGACACATTTACAGTAGAGCCCCTCAAGTTCTGCTCTGGAATTTGCAAACTTATCTCACAGTTCCAGTAGCATGGCGTTTGCTCCATCTTTCCCTGTGAAATGTCTCTCCCTTGGAAAAATAATGTGAGAGCCTTTCAGACCTTTTGAAGCTAGAGCACCCCATCTTTTCCCTCTGACATGATACTTTGATCTAGTCATTGTATTAGAATGCGTGGAGCTGCAGGATTCAAGAGGTACAGCAAAGTCGTAGGCACCCAGGCAGACACATATCTCTGCATAAACCTGTCCTGTAGTCACAATGCCAAAGACATGATCTGGAGGTAGCAAGGAAAAAGGCAGACTGAATCTGGAAAGGAATCACCACAATATTCTGCCAAAAGAAGTTTGAGATGGGAGGAAATAAAAGAAGAGGCTTTTAAGCATCACCTTATACTGTGTCAGTGGATGGCATCTCTCAGTGAGACACACACTATGCCACAATGCATTTCCAGCCTCAGTGAGAGAAGCCAGGATGAGTAGTAGTATTGGGAAGAGATAGCAACTAGTATTAGGAGAACAGGGGAGGATATTGGAAGATAAGTGAAAGCTATTTACAGAGGGGGAGAATACACCTGTATAGAAAGCTGAGCAGGCTGCTCTCTGCTTGCCTTCCCTCCCCAACATTGCTGCAGAACGGAGAAGGATCAGATTCATGAGTAAAATCAACCCCAGTGTTTCCCTATCTGCCTCCTGCCCTCTTTAGGCCACTCTTTGCAGCTAGCTGTAGGTGGTGCTGTTGGCAAAGAACTGCTCCTCTGGCTGCTGAATGCCTTTCAGATCGCAAAACCCACAAGTCTGCAGGCAAGGGTTTGCCACATCAGAGGCCGTGGCAAGGAAGTGTTTGAGCTCTGCACGTGAGCACACCTGGATGCTCAAAAGCAGAAGGTGGCTAGACAGGAGGAAGGGGGAGTCTACCCCATGAAAACAGCAAGCAATTACAGCTCTAATACAGAGGGATGCTGGCCTAAATAAATGCACTCAGAGAGATTCACAGAAGAGCGGCACTTTAGTAGGGAGACCTATGTAGCAAAGATGAATGAGATTCCCATCAGCCACACCTGGATACAGGTGGAGCTAGGACAGGAAGGGAGTACATGAGCTTAAATCCAACCACATACTATCACAGACAGGCTTATCTACTCCCAATCCTACTAATAGTAGTGTGTATGTGGGAACTTCCTTGTCTGCGTAGGTGCTGTAAGATTATAATGTACCAGAGGCTTCACCCATGCCTTCCCCGACTTCAAGCTTTTTTCGTACCACTCTCAGGAAAGCAGGAGAGTCCTCACAAGCAGTCAACACCTACATACTTGTAGGCTAGTGTTAGAGAGAATTAAAGGACCTGGTAGCAGCTTGTGGCCTGCATATGAAAATTAAGGATTTTTGGAATTAAGGCTGAAAGTTGCCTCACTGGGGACAAGAACGACTTTGCTGTCAGTAGGGAGCAGGGACAGACTCCAGCACCAGAACACTTAGTACAGGCTCCAGGATATCTTGTATCCTTTCTCCTGGGTCTCAGCCAGGGCAAGGCACCACTCAGCAACTAATTCCAAGATAGCTCCAAAGGCATAGAGTCCGCAGAGAGAGTGCACATCACTACAGGAGAGAAAGGAAGCCTCGGAGCCTCCCCAGCCCTTGGAAGTGAGCCACGCTGCTTCTGAGCGAGAGAGCTGTGCTGACCGCCAGACAGGCGCACAAGCAACGGGATGCGTTGCCAAGTCACTACTGAGTAGCTCTAAATTCTCAGCATACCAGTTGCAATTTTCCCTACAGGCTGTCAAAAAGTGGGTTTCCAGTAGGAAAATAGTAAGAGGTGACCACATACGCACTGTGGATCTCGGGCCAGGACCCAAGCTCAGAGTGCAGTACTGCCCTTGGCCATGGGGTGAGAGGCGAGGGCAGAGAATCTGCCTGCCTCAGCAGGGATAACTGCCCACCAGCTACCTCCCCAGCCCAGACGGGAGCTCTTCACTTCCACCAGTTACTCCCGTTCCCTCTGGCCACAGCAAGGGCTGCTCAAGTGGGATTTGCTTAAAACCCCTTGCTGTAAAATAAATCCATTAAACTAAATTCTAAAAACAAACCCAGAAAGCCACCTCCCCAAACGCCAAACCTGATTCAATTATTGTAGCGAGAGGCAGCGGTAATGTTAGGAGGAGGAGGGGGTGGCCAGGCAGATCTGGTTTCCTTTGATCTTGTCACAGATTTTAGTTTGAGGCCAGCCAAAGCCATTCTTCTCCCCTTCTCCTTAGTCCTGGGGCAGCAGAATGCTGCTGTTTCATTGATGACTCCCAAGGCCCTTTGAAACAGTGGGTTTTTTCTGTGTTCTGCTTTTTTTTTTTGTCTAATCGGTAAGAAGTTAACACTTCCTTAACATGTCTTTGTGTTCATCTAATCTCTGCTGTTTAACCTTTGACATCTCCCTTATTATCCATGTCTGCCACCTTTTCCAAATACCGACAGCAGTGACAACACAGAACGGTTTGAGCCCTGCGGTAACAAGCTGCGTACATTCCTCCCACTGCACCAGAAGAGCCATTTGCCCTTTGTAGCTGTTTTCACCGTGACTTGGAAAATAAACTGCAATTTGGGCAGAGGTAGCTGGAGAGGCTGAGCCTCACACACAGCCAGCTGAAGGGAGAAGAACACCTCATGGCCTGACAGCAGCCGCTGCCTGTTCCTGCTCTGGGCATCTCAGTACCAGCTCCAGGTCAATTCCTTGGAGAAGACTGCCCATGAGAGTGCTGGAAGAGATTAAGAACCCAACCATGCTTCTACGTGGGCACTGGACCACCAACTAGTGTATTTGGTGCAGCCCCAGAGAGAAGCAGCAGATACAGGGCAAGCTGTGCCAAGCAAGAAAGGTCTCAGGCAAACACAGGCATACCTCTACAAAGTTCTGGTCCTAAGGTCTTGGGAAACCTCTTAGCTGCCTAGACAGCTTAGAAATCCTCCATTCTGAGACATATCTGCTTCAAACTGAGCGAAGTCCAAGGTTTGGTCGGTGGAGACACACAGGCTGGATAGGGAGCTGGGAAAAACCTCTCTGTCCTCTACTTGGGCGCATGAGGTGATTGGAAGACTGGGATAGAGACCAGGGAAAGAACAACTAGGGGAGCTGGGAGTGCAGAGGAGCACCACAGCCACCCTGGGGGCTGTGTGGAGGCACTGCAGAGCAGAGGCTCAGGTGACTATGGGCAGCTACACCTGGAGCTCTGTGACCAGGGGTGTGCCTGAGCACCACTGTGCCACCAAAGCAGGAAGTTATCTAGGAAGCACAGCAAGAGGCCAAGAGGATGGGTTTAGGAAGGATTGCAACACAAAATGGTGCATCACTCAGGAAAGTTGAGTAACAGGGCGCAAGGGCTTTGACGGCTGTTTTGGCAAGAGCCAATGGAAGCTGATACTTAGTGGAAAGGAGAGGCAATGAGTAGGGATACATCTCGGTAGGGCCGAGTAGACTGTCCCTAAGTATGTCTGGCGCTACTTGAGGGCAAGCCTGCACTCAAACACCAAACCCCTTCAGGACTTTTTCAGCTCAGATTTCCAGTGCTCCTGTCTGTCTGGGGCCACCAGCAGGTACACAACATGGCACAGGGTCCTCCTGCCAACCCTGAGAGGTCTATTGTCTGCATCTACACCTTGAAGAACAGCACTCCATAGCTCAGCACTGCTAGCAGAGGAGTAGGAACCCCACCCCCCTCATTTCTGTCTCTTCTCTCATTTGTAGGTACTACAAAAAGTTCTCAATTCCTGACCTGGACCGATACCAGCTCCCCTTGGATGCAGCTGCCCTGAGCTTCACCCATGCCAACAACACCCTGATAATCACGGTGAGGTTTTAGCCACGCAGAGCAGTACTTTGCCCTTCTCTTGATGTCCACAAAGAAGTTAAAATTCTTACATATGGGGAAATGAGGCAGAGCAGAGATCTGCTGAGGGTCACTGATGAGCCCTGTCACACAGTCACTGGGAGTTTCAGATTACACTGGGCATGCCGACACTAGCCAGGACAGCCCAGGCCGCAGGAGGGGCCCTGCTTGCTGCTCAAGGTAACTTGCAGGTGGAAGAGTGTCTGTCACACCATTTTCCACATATCCCCTTCCCCCAGGCCTGAGCAAGCCTCCACTCTCATGACAAAGTTTCTCTTGCCTTAGAGCATAAGTGTTAAGAGTCCAAGGACCTGCTGCGCTTAGAGGTCTCACAGTCTTAAAGAAAAAAAATCACCTGCTGCTTTGTGTCAGAGAGGACACACTTCTGTGCACATGATGGAAGTGAGAGACTAGCAAAACGGGCACTTCCTTGTTGCAAGTTGCAGAGAGAGGCAGACAGATGCTTTAGAGCAGCAGGTGCTCATCTTGTTAAACATAGAAGTCAGCTACTCAGAGAGCAACCCCTCTGAGGGAAACCTCGCAGCAGAGCTGGGGCTTTATGTGCAAAGGAAATAAGCCAAGAGGAGCACCTTGAGTCCTCCTGAGCTTCTGTTTGCTAAAGGCCAAACCCTTGCCAAAAAGCACCTGCATCCACCACTAAACTGCAGCTGGGTGAGGGAGCTCTGAGAGGAGGACAGAGGAACTGCAACTCTTACTTCTCTGCCTTCTAGAAAACGCATGTTGTCTTTATATATAACATGTGTGAGCATACAACCAGTGAGCACGTCAGGGATCTGTATGACACAGCTTGCCAGGATATTCCGGAGGAGTCGGTGGGGGCCGGGACGCTACATCCAACTGGAAAGTTTTACTTGCACTGTAAAACACTCCAGATCTTGGCAAATGTCCCTAGTGTGATGGTACCACCTCTCCACATGGGCTTCGGAGGCAGCTGATAACAGAAAGGCCTCCCTTGGCAGGAGGGCCCCAGCTGGTCAGCTCAGAGCAGAGGCTGAACAGAGTGCTAAGGGCATTTCTCTCTGTCCTACAGTACCAGAAGCCAAAGGAGATCCTGGCTGCAGAAGAGCAGCTGCAGAAGGAGCTGAAGAAGATAAAGGCAGCTAACAATGGGGAGGGCGACTGTAAGACCCAGTAGGCAGTGGCTGCTAAGAGGCTGAGGTGAGGGGCAGCTCTCTGGCCCAGCTTCATGGTATTTATTTTGCCTTTTCTAATAAAAATTGGTCCTGTTAATAGAGCCATTTGGAGGAATCTTTCCAGGCCTGGGGAGATGGTGGGGCATTCAATCTCTTTACTGCCTGGTCTGCTGATTTACACAGACATTTATGATCCTTCTGTGAGTTGTGGGAAGCTGCAGCATGCAAAGGAGATGCACTGCATCCACAGCCAGCAACCTTCTCCCCATCCTCCACGAGCAAAAGAGACACAAAAGCTGGGTAGTTCCCCTTGGGAACTCCCTGTCTACCACCACTGCTGAAGACAGTAACATCTGGAAAACAAGAACCCCTTCCACACACCCCTTACCTGCCTGGGATGTGCTTGGAAGCAACTCTCTCCTGTGCTGTTGTGCAAGGTCCTCAGGATGCTCTGGTGACCCTGGTATCTCTGCAAACAGCATCGATGCTTAGACATGCATGGGCACAGCCTATGAAATAGGGTGAAGAGGACGACACCCCACTGCTTCCTTACCACCAGCCATGCTCAACGTGACATGCGGAACATGGGCGGCTGTGCAGAGAGCAGGAACCGAAATGCAGCTGCCTTCATTTGCATGGCAAGGAGGGGAAAGTGGTGACAGGGGCCGCTGGGCAGCTCAGGAGGAGCAGCAGCTCACCCCTTCCATGAGGACACAAACGGCCTACCTACCACAAACCTCACTGCACAGACAGTACCCTGTGCACAGGGCCAACCCCAGCAGTGCTGCTTTAGCAACTCACCCTCCAACCAGTTACTGTCTCTACCCTGCATGAGCCCCCCCTGTGCTTAGTTTTCTGCACATCCTTCCGTCCTGGTTCATACCTGAATGGCTCCTACTCAGATCAACCCTCCTCTTTTAAGTGAGCTCGTCACAGCATAGCCCCCCTGATGAGGACTGCTTTCAAACCACAACAACTCTTCAGAGCCTGGGTGGCATCCCCCAGTTAGAGCCTCACAGCTGGGTGGCTGCAGGACCCACCTGCATACTTCCCCCATCCCACCCCCCACAAGACAGAGGCACCATCAACTGGCGGAGCTCTCAGAGCCAGTGCCAGCCCCACTTGCAGCTTCCCCATTCCCCATTGTCACCTGAGATGAGAGGGGGCTGAAGCTCTGCTCCAGCCTTCAGCCAGGAAGAACCTAAGAGCAGCTACAAGGGTGCAGGACACACCGACATGGGCTGTAGAAAGAAATGGCAGGACTGGCAGCAGCAGCACTGCAGGCAGGCCTGTCATGGGAGTCTCCTACACCAGTGATACTTGTTCACCTGCTCAGCTGACATTCTCTTTCCTACCCTGGGCCTCACCCAAGTCCCAGTGCAATAAAGAACCTCTCCTCCCACCCCACAGTTACTCTGGTTCCTTCACAGCCTCTCCCTGGGGAGACTGCCAGAGACATTTAATATCTTCATCCCTCCCAATTTCATTAAAGGACCTGTAGCACATCAGGACCTGAGAAAAACCAGACACCCCCAACTCCCAAGCTCTGCCAGCTCACTCTCTCTGGTCTTCTACCGCGTGCCTAATCATTTACCTAAAGGTCTCCTTACATGCAGAGCCCAAAGTGCTCCAAGCAATATAGCACCAGTATTTAGCAACCCCTGATGCAAAGCACAATCTTTTCAGCAACAGCTCGGTGATACCAGTAACCCAGAGGTCCCCCCAGAATAACTATCCTGGGCTCTCAGTCTTTGGGATCTTCAGCTTTGAGCTGATGGAAGATTGTTCCAGCTGTGGCATCTTTTTACAGTAGATCATTGCTTGTGGCGCTTAGACATCAACTCTGCCACTTACACAAGCAGAATATGTAGCAGCATGGCAGCAAGCAGGCATGACCAGCAGCAGAGGAACAGGCACAGACCAGGAACTGTGACAAGGAGCTGTGCTGGAAAGACCCTTGTGAGAATGTGATCCTGCAGCAAAGCCATGCTTTTAAGTTATTTCACACCCTGAGCTGCTCTCACATCCACTAGGAACAGAGAGCTCCCTTCAAGAAGGTGAGAAGCTGGTTGGTTCCACTCCCTCCCTACTCAGGCAGGGGCTCCAGCAAAGAACATCTTCCAATTTTTGTGCATGACAAGGGAAGAGCAGCCTCTTGACAGCGGAAATTACCTATTAAGTTCTAACAAAGCAATATGCTGGGTGCTTCGCCCTAGAAGTGCTCCCAATTTGAGATACAAAACCTCTCCTCTCCTTTACCTATCCAGGATAACCCTACTTGGCAGTGAGTTTGGGTCACGCACTTCTTCCCCCAAGGAGGACCAGACCCCAGACACTGCTGCACTCACCCACAGCGCATTCATTCACGTTCATCCAGACAGCACAGAGCATGCTGAGAACTGTGGTTGTTCTGAAACCCAGCTTGGGTTCATAAGGCTGACACAAAAAGAAGCAGAGCCCACTTAGATGTGCCTACAGGATCCCAGTAAATCACATGAAGGCCTTGGTGTTTGCAGTAGTCCAGTTTGCTCCTTCATTATGCAGGCAGCAAGTGAGCTGCAGATCCTACTTTTTAAATTCTTGTTTGAAAGTTTGAAGTGACATTGGATTCAAGATCCCAGGAACTGCCTTCAACACAGCAGTGTCACAGAGTCTAGCCAGGGAGAGAGATCTATTAGACATGTAGACAGCATCTGAAAATAGGCCCAACCTCCTCTGCCCAGCCAGGCCCCTGTGATGAGCAGGTAACATCGCAGCCCCTTTGGAACTTGAAACAAAACATACAGTCTCTTTGTTTCCCTTCAGAGTTTTATTTAGCAAAACATGACCATTTCAGCCCTGCCAAGTGCACAGCCTGACCTGACGGCCTGCTTGGGGAGGCATACACTGAAAGCAGGGCTGGCTCTGCCTTTTAGCTCAATTCTTGCTCTTGGCTGTGAAGCACAACACAAGCAGCTGTCAGGAGAGCAAGCGCAGATGAAAGGTGGGCCCCACTCCAGGCACCTTTCCCTTCCACCAAATCAGTCCACCCCACACACAGCCTAGACTTGCTTCACATGGCTCAGAGCTTGGCTGATCTCAACCTGACCAGCACACACAGCTGATAGGGCATCCTGGCTCAACTTGCCCCTCAAATGCTGTATCCACAGGAAAAAAAAAAAAAAAAAGAAAAAACAAAACAAACAGTTAATAAAACCACCCTGACTTGCACAAAATAAAAAGGGTAAAGGACAATTAGCCTTTATTTTCACTATCAGGCAGGTGAGACTGAGAAAGTCTGGCCCTTTGTGCACTCTTCATTGCAGCTTTCTGGAAGGTAAAAAAATCCCTTCAGAAGCCCGGGGGGCCATTCTCACCTCTCCTGCCCTGCGATTCCCTGAGCCAAGTGTCAACTCTGCTGAGCTGGGGTGACCAGAAGCAGCTGTGGTGCCCTTCATGGGGCCGTGAAGTCTAGGACGTGCAGGGCTGATGCCAGGGCAGCGTACAGATGGGTGGTACTGAAACGGAGGCAGTACACTGGGCTGCTGGTGGGTGAAGACAGGTGAAAGCTCTGCAAGAAAATAGGAGAATCAACCTTTCAAAGAAGAGGTCAGCCCAAAGACCCCAACCAGTGTTACAGACCCAAAGGCTGAGATGCCTGAACAAAGCAGGCTTTTCCCTGCTTTTAGGTTATGTTCCCCATGGTGGGCTCACCCCAAAGACAGCCCAGCAGTCCCTCTCTCTTCTTCCAAAGAGATATGGGCACAGGGTTGCCAGAGAACAACTCAGAAGCTCTGCTGCTGCCCAGCCTCCAGCCAGCCCTCACCTGCAGGCACCGAGTCTGTCGCTTATCCCAGAGGCGCACCACGCCGTAATAAGAAGAGCCGCTGGCAATCATATGGTTCTTATCACTCCTTATGCAGTACAGGGCACTGTCATGGGGCTCTTCCCACTCCTGGATGCATTTCCTGCAAGGGCAATGCAAACCAGAGCAGGGTTGAGCTTCCACTCCTCCGGAACAGGAACTGAGGCCCAATTTGCCTGAAGGAGCTAATTGAGCTGCAGGCAAGTCCCCAGGCACCACACAAGGAGAGCCCAGGAGCCTCACAGGGGCCCCAGCTGCCAGCAGGGTAGGCTCACCTCGTGCTGGTCCGTATGTCCCAGTAACGGATGTAGGTGTCATACCCACAGGAAAGGAGAAGGGAAGGTGTTTCATAGAAGACATCAAGGACTCCAGCTCCACGGTGGAAGTCAGTCCCTAAACAGGTCAACAGCTGACCACTGCAATGAAACACAACAGGGGAAGAGTCATTCAGAGCTAAGCACCCTTCCAATTCAGCTGGCCAAAGCAGAGATGGTATCACAGAAGTCTCCTAGATCTCATTTCTGTGATTTAACAGAATGCAAAAAGCCTGCAGTCTTCCTCTCCCTACCCCAGCTTCTGCTATGGGTTGAGCCAGCAACTGTCATGGAGGGTGACCAGCAGGAGTCACAGCTGTAAGAGGAAGAGACAAGGAATTGGCACAGCTGACCCACAGCAGAATGGGATCATTTTCCCTGGGAGAAGTGACCAGTACTCTGAATGATGGGGCTCCATTTCCATGGGAGACAATTCTCAACTTAGTCAAACTCCAGATAATTTGCAACAGCCACTTACTTGGTCAATCCCATCCCATTCAGGACTCTGTCCTTCAAAATACTACCCACTGGGGTATTGCTCCATATCTCTGATACACAGGTCAGATCCACAGGCAAACTAGACTCTCCTGACCCAGCCTGCAATGGTTGCTCTCTTCAATCCCCTCCAGTTACACTGCATACTGCAAACATCGTATCTGGGACTGAACATAACAGGTCAAGAGCAACCACCCCAGGGCTGCTCTGGAGATGACTTTCTAAGGGCTAGCTTTAGTTGTTTTTTTTGGGTTTTTTTTTTTTTTTTTTTTTGACCTCCTCTGCCTTTTTAATTCCTTGTTTGCTGTGAAAGAGCAAAAGCAAGATTTCCATGAGGCTTTAAGCCAGATGCTTTGTGGCTGTATCACTCTGCTGCTTGTTCATGTGCAGAACCAAGTGGATGGATGGTGCCTGGTAAAGGCCCACCCTGCCAGACCGCAACAAGGAGCTTGAGCCCCTCCCCTGGGCCGTGTGAAACTGCATCAGGCACACCTGCCCCAGCAGCCCTCACCACCCAGCCATGGCAGACTCTTGGGAATGGAGAGGACAATCTGTCCAGCTGTTTGAAACAGTCACCTCTTGCAAACCCTCCTTTTCTTCCTCATCCTCCTCCTCGCACCCTCTAAATCAAAAACACTGGACACAAACCTTGAAGCACCTGCTTTTCAAACCCGGCTGCATGGCCACCCCTCTCCAACAGGCTCTTGGTTCTCAGGACAATGAAGCAGTCCTGAAAGCCAGCAGCACGGATCCCGCAGTGGGGTCACTCCCAGCATCTCCCCCCATTATTTTGTTACTTTCTGCTCCTTGATCCAGCATCACACAGTTCTGAGGCACATCGCCAAATGCCTTAATTCTGTCTGTAATCTGGGCTAAAGCCCTCGTCGGGGGATAAAGACCACACAAAAGGAGAAATAGAGTCCCAGGAGATGTTAAAACAAGTAAACACCTTTGTGTCAGGAGAGAGAAATCGCTGATAAAGCAGATTAGCGCCTCGAGCCCTGGTGTCCCCAGATCAGAAGGCGAGCCCTGGCCGATCTTTGCAGCCAGCACGCTTCTATGATCACAGAGCTGGCGGCATGCTGGGGCCAGCCTGTTTCCCCACAGTCACTCTCCAAAGAGCAGATTATGTAGAATAACAATTTCTTTGTGGCTGTGTAATTCCCTCCGTGACCGTGGCTGTGGGCAGCTACATTGGCCCTTGATGCCAAGGCCCTAGCAACCATTTAGAGAGGCCAACCAGCCCTAGCAATGGCCCCCCCGCGCAAACCTCTCGGACAAGCTTTAACATCAAGTGCATGAATTAATCCCCCCCAACACGAATCCAGGGGTGCTGGCTTATTGGACTTTGTGTTTCTCCAGGCAAGGGATCGAGGGGATTCCAGGCTTCAGCCCTTTGCAACCTTCTCACAATATATTAACCCTTGGAAGGTTACTTGCAAACCAACAGAGCAGTATCTTTGCACCTGTGTGCAGGTTGAGAGGTTGAAGCATTTGCAGTCTCAGCAGTGGGAGCAAGAGCTGGGGGATTTGACTGGGGCAGATGGGTCCTCAACTCCACCATGGAATAAGACATGGATGGGTATCTCTGAGCTCTGACACTCCCCTGCCCCTCCAAGTGCAAAGATACCATGTCCTCCATCTGCTGTTCTGCAAAGCCAGCAGGACAGATGGACACGCACATGAGCCTTCTCAAGACTTCCCCAAATCCTTCTTCATCCTATGAGTTACATGTGTGGTCTGGAGTTGTAAGACATACAACAGAGATATGAGGAGGAGTCAGCTGCTCTCTCAGACAAGAACTCTTGGACTACCTGTGAGATACATAAGAGGCCAGACTGCCCAACCTGCAGAGTCCTCTGCCAGTTCCTCAGGCAGGAGCAGGGAGTTACTCACAAGAGATGAATCACCTCAGCAAGCCCTAGGCAGCATCAGCAGCTCAGACCCCTCTCTCCCCATTTCCGCATGCTACTGCGTTTTACTTTTTGGTTTTGCAGGGTAGCTCCTGGACTGGCGCTCTGAGCACACTGGACTTTGGGAGAGGAAACCAGAATGGGCAGCTGCACATGGGCCATGCAGTCCAGCAGCATGTCTGGTGAACATCTCCTGCTAGATAGCTGAAGCCTGTTGGTGTTATTTCCTCTCCACCATTTTCCCTGCTAATACTCCTTTAATATGTGAAGGGCTAAGTGAGCTCAGGTAGAGAGGAGCACTGTGCTGAGGAAAGGTAGCAGGATGCAGAAGCACATCCAGGGATCTTTTAGTCACTGGGACTAGCCCTCTTCCTCCTCTCAGGTGCTTGAAATGGGTCACAGCAGATCTCCTCACAACCTCCCACCTCTAAACAAGCAGCTGTCATAGCCAGTGCAAGTCTGGCCACACTAAAGCTTGTCTTCCATCTCCCAGACCAGACCTCAGTCCGCAGTGGCAGCAATTTTTAAGGTCAGGCTGGTGATGTCTCCAAGTGAAAAATTTCAGCATCAAAGGGACAGGAGAAACCAGAGAGTCTGGATTCCTGATTTCAGAACTTCCTCTGCAGCACTGAACACCACCTAGGTGCCTTGCCCTCAGTGTTTCTCCATGCCTTCACACCTCACTGCAGGGATACCCAAGCATCCCAGCAGTGACACCTGTTTTCCTCCCTCCACTTCCCTTTCCAGCCTATGCAACAAAAAAGAAAGAAAAGGAAAAAAAAAAAAAAAGAGGAGAAAAAAATAATTATTAGCTTTTCTCTGTAGGCAGGAAAGGAGCACAGATACTTGCAAGTTACTGCAGCAAAGCAAACCTTACTTTGCTGGTTTGTTAATCAGCTCAATTCTCCTGCCCCAAGAATAGGTCAGCCAAAGCAGCTTTCAACTGGGAGGTCCAGCCCCTGCATACAGCAGCAGTCTGTTGGCTGTTTACAGAAACAACACATCAGTTGCTACAGTGAAGCACTTCTAATGGACACCAGGGGACAAAAAAAAAAAAAAAAAAAAAATTACTGTGCTGTACATTGGGCCCACAAACTAAAAGACCTAAGTGCTCTGGCATGGGCACACTTAAATTGATAAAGATGCAGAACATGATAATATTTCCCCCATTTTTCAGCAGACTAAGGTGTCTCTGGACCAGCTACCACCATGCCAGACGAGCTCCACATCCCTGCAGCTTAAACAGCCATGCTAAACCCATGCTGGAAAGAGAACTCTGTCACCACAAGTCTCCCAACCTTGGGATCATAAATTAGTGGCCACAAATTGTCCAGTCTTCATTATCCCAAATACTCCCTGCCCTCAAACCCCAGTCCCCAACAGCTTCCACTTCCTAGGGAGAAAAACCCACTGCTAATCCTTCCAGCAAAACCAACAGGTAATCCTTAACAACCCATACAGGACCAAGATAGCACACCAAGGGGCAACAGAAAAGCAGCAGATAGAAAACCATTAGTTATTTGCTGGTGTAACAACTTACATGGGCAGAAGATAGCTACTGAGGGACAGAAAGACATGTGATAGGGATCTTGGACCTTGTTTCTCACCAGCTTACAGAGATCACCAGCACCAGCCAAATACAGCAGGGAACAGCCCTCTCCTTTCCTTTGTGGGTCCTTTTTCATTCTCTGCACCCAAACACCTTACAAAAACCTGGTAGCTGACCCTCAGCACTTCAGACTTCAGGATGCCCTGTCCTTGTTATGCCCTATGAAGGTTAGTCAGTAAGTGACCGTGAAGCCCAAGCAAAACCAAGCATGGAAGGTCCAAACCACCTCCCCACCATGCCCTGGCCCTTCAGCAGTAGCAAAAGTAGAGGTTCTTTCACCCCCAGGCCTTCTTCTGGCAAGCCAGGTAGTTAGCTGTGCAGATGGGGGGGAGTTTTTCTATGTTTTCTGTACTGATCAGCCTGGCCCATACAGAGCTAGAGTTCAATCCCAGTGCTGGGTGGCACTGACAGAAACAACTCTGCACCAGTGGAGCTCTGTGGAACAGAATCACAAATGTGACAGTCCAGGTTTCCTGGAAAGACCAGTCTAGAAGCCAGAGTTCTCTGCTTCAGCACATTAACCACGAACCACCTGGGCCAATGCAGCACCTACAGACACACAGGCAGGCCTCCAGTGCCGAGTAGGGAACTCAGAGATACTCCTAGTTTCTCCTACTTTCTCTTAGGCATTAAGAGAGACTGAAATCATAGTGGTAGTAATCTGGTACCAGCCCACAAGGAACAGAGCCAGAGCAAATCCAGCAGCCCAAATCTGACAGCACAGGAAAGTTGTATTAGCACCAGGCCCTGGACTCCTTGCTGACAGAACAAGATGTTTAAACAAAGTCCCCATGCCTGGGAAATGTATCAAAATGATCAGTCCAAAAATGAAATGCATTTTGTTCAGGCACTATAGAGAATCCTTTGATTCATCTCCATCAATTCCCTTGTTCTTCAGAAAACAAGATTTTTTTAAAAATTACTTTTAAAATAAGGTACTTGATTGGAATTTCCACATTTCTTCTTTCCATACTGAAAATCTAGCCATAAGCATTGCTATCATGATACCTCCAGAAGACAGTCCCCTTCTAGCCTGGAAGCAAAGTGAACTACCAAGGTATGACAGAAACAAGCTGGTTTAAGTAGTTTTTTAATTTTTAAAACCAGTTTAAGGCTCTATTCCTCCTCATTCCAGCAATATGAAGACAAAATAAGATCAGCCATGGCAGAGCCCAGATGTTTAGTTTCCAGATAATCCACAGAATGCTGCTGTCACCAAGTTAAAGCCATATACAGCCTCCCAAGCCACTGTGATTATTTGTGTGACCATAAAATCTCAGAATTTCCCTGAGACCTTACTGATAGCTGCAGTCCAAAAGAAGTCTGCACCTCCCTTGCTGTACTCTGACCATTTGCTACAGGTCTTGGCCAGCTGTCTCCAATACACGTGAACTACACTCCAAAAGCTGGCATGAAATAATAAACACTTTTCTCCCCACTCTCAATTTCTGGTGACCTCGATTCACTAGAACTGACATTATACAAAAATATGCAAATTCTAGGAATCTGCTGAATTCAGAACATCCTCTGAAAACTGACTTGTGCGAAATTGAGGACCTACTCATTCACTCTGGAAACCTCATCCGTGAATTGTGATCATCCATCAAAGAGGAGAAGCCACTGCACATAAGCAGGTGACTTAAGAACGGAGTAGAGCTCTAAACCAATATTTTAGCCCCAACAACTACTTGGGACAAGACAGGTGGGAAGCATACTGTATTTTAAAATAAGTCAAAAAAGCACCGTTCTGTTCAAAACAGTGGAGATACCTGAGCGGAGTACTGAACAGAGAAAGGAAACAAAATCAATTTAAAAACAATTATCCAGAGTGCAGCATTTGCACAACTTCTGTCATCCAATTTGGAGAGCACACCAAAACCAAAGGGAAGAGCTGAGTTGTCATCTCTTTCAGGCACTCTGCAGCAGCAGCTGAGGCACCCAGGGAACACAGCAGCTTATGCTAAGGGAAAGGCTTGGTCAAGCAACACCTATAACATAGGTAAGGAGAAGCATAGATCCTTGACAAAGTTATTCTACCCCAGTGTTACCCCTGTACTTAGCCAAGGCTACTAATTCCTTCAGGGTAGGAATGGCTTGGATGTAGGATTGGCTTGGGGAATTCTGGGGGAGTATTTCCATGTGAAATGGCTCAGAGATGCTGTTATAAGTGATTTTCAGGAGAAATGCCCCTCTCTGCTTCCTCAGCACTGAAAAGACTCAAGGCAGTAGGGGGGAATGACACCAACGATGGTTTGAGATTGTGTCAGGGGGAGAAACAGAAGAGGGAGTTTTGCCTTCTTTTCTTCTGCTTTCTCTGAATTGGCCCACACACGCTTTAAATGGTCCAATAAAAAGATACAATTTCTTTACCTTTCCAGCTCTGGGACCCTGTGAGTTTTTGTTGTTCGGGTTCCTGTAAGGTTAAGTTCAGAGGATAAACTGACACGCTGGGCTATGGGAAAAAGCCAGTTTCTTCAAATAAAGCCACAACGGTGCAAAAGAGACCCTGCTGGGGCTTTTATTTGGGAAAACAAACAGAAATGGCACCAAGCCCTTCTGCTTTACGAACCAATTTAACTATAAAACCAATGTTCTCCCTCTCGGGGGTGAGGAGGGGAGAGAGACAGGACATGACAATAGTCCAAAACCTTGGGGGGAAAAAAAAAAAAAAGAAGATAGGACAAAAAAGGTTGTCTGTCCCCTTTTCTTCCTTGTCCATGGCTCCTTTTCTTAGCACACGTGTGTTCTTGTAAAAACGATTAGATTGCAATTTGTATAACATGGTGACCCCCAAATTCAGACATTTAACCCCTTTTCTCTGCAAAGAATGTCAAGAATGTCTTCTCTGTCTTTCTTTGCAACAGGAGGAGTAGGGGGGAATTCTCTCAAACTGTGATTTCTTGGGGGAAGAGAAAAAGAGGAAGGCAAGGAAAAGAAGCAGGGAATTCTCAAAGCCTCTCGCCTTTCGCCCCACTTGTGTGGGAACAGGCGGCTGTATTGCTGCCTTTCTGGACAGAGCTCTGCAGGTCTCCTTTAGCAGGGAGACAAAAAATGGAGAGTCCAAATCAAAACAAAGCCATCTGTTTAAATGAGCTACCGCTAGCCAGTGGCAGAGGGGGTTCCTCATTCACTCCTTCCCATTCTTCTCTCTTGCCTCTGTTGATTCTCTCTCAACCCAGGGAAAAATAAAGATTGCTTTTGCTTTGGCTCAGAGGGATGAAACTGATTGATGCGCTTGGAGTGTCCAGCCCCCACCCACGCTCTCTGATTGTTCAGAGCCTTGTAAAGTTGTCATAAATACGCCTGAACAGGAGTGCAAAGGCCACAGCATGCCCTGGACACGAACACATCCAAAGGGCAGGAGCTGGCCTCATGCTCATCTGTAGTGAGGCAGGGCCGACTGCCACACAGAGGAAAGGATTTAGGATAAACACCTGTATGTTCTTCCTCTTACAACAGTTTTACATTTAGGTTAAGATGCACCAGAGCCCTCTTAACAAAAGGAAGGAGGAAGATGCCTAGCTTATGTGAGAGGGTTCAGAAAGACAATGTCAGAAAAAAACCCCAGAAATCGGTAAAGAACCACAAGGCCCTAAATGGGGCCTAAACACACACCATGGAAAATCCATTGCACAGACAGGACTGAAGCTATCCATTATAGCCAAGAGACAGAGCTCTGAACACAGCAGAGTCTGCTAAAAGAAACAGTCATCCAAGAGACCACCATTTAAGAGGCTCCCTGCAACAGCAAGCTTTCTCCAGCACTGGCTCAAGTAGTTGGTGATAGGCCTGGTGTCCTGTCTCCAGCAGTGCCCAAGATATCAGAGCAAGGGAATCAAATCCTCCAGTTCAGAGCCACATAACTGGGGTAGGAATTTTCCTCCGGCCTTGTCAAATGATTAATTCATGCCTGAAGGCAGGAGGCCTGTTTATATCTAGTCTTGCTGCTCAAGTCACAAGTGGGATTGCCAACTCCATGAAGAAGGATCTGCTTTTCCCTTTGCTCTACATCTAAGCTCTCTATTCTACCTACCTTACCACAGAGGGAGTGGTTCCCAAGGACCAAATTACAAATTCAAAAGATAGCCATTGTTCCAAACTGATTTAATATGAATAGGCCAAGAAAGTGTTCAACCGAAGACAAGAATTCCCCTATGGCAGACCCCAGTCTGTCACTTCACCAACCCTTTTTCCTTCAAATTCCAGGAAGACGACATGGCATTTGTGTTCCATATTAACCAAAGGACATATAAATGGGAATATCCAGAACTGATGCTTTAAAAAGAGTAACCAAAGCCATCTGTGAATGGGGTGGGGAAACAGTGCAGCAAAAACCAAGCAGGAGAGCCTCAGGAAAAGAGAATGAGCAGCCACCTGAGAAAGGGCAACTACCTGTGGATCATCCCACTGCAGTGAGTGGAGGCAGAAGGTAGCACACATATTCACTTACCGGATCTAAGCACAGCCCAGAAAGCTGTTTAGCTCACTGTTGGACAAGTTTTGGATTGGTTATCGTGATTGAAAATGGTGTTCAGCCAAGACAAGGATGCCGAGAAAGAAACCCAAGCCTGAAAGGAGTAGGGAGTCTCTTTCCCACAAAGCCTGGACAGAATTCTCTTGGCAAAAAACGATACATGACATGATGAATCTACAGAAAAGC